GTTCAAGCATATTTTTGCTGTTTAATGCAGCTTTTAAAAATAAGAGAAATCCCTTAGTAGATATTGATCTTTGAAATCTAGTTTGCAGGCCACATACATTACAGGAAGTACAGCATATGGGCTGTGGAGCCGCCAGGAACTTGAATACTAGTTCTGCCATTCATTAGCTGTAAGATTTTAAGCATGTTACTAAACAACTCAGGCACAGATTTATTATCTATTAAAAGGAGTTATTTTAAGTGATGTTACCTGAAATACTTAGAGAAATTTATTTTACTTATTCTTAATATTTGAGTGTTCTTAATTCTTTTTTTAAAAAAATAACAAATGGGAGATTTGTTAAAAATTCATTTAGGAGAAACAATTATTGACACCTAACAGAAAGGTAAAGTAAGATAGAAGTTCAGGAAATAAAATGTTTTAATCAAAACCAATTTTTTTTTATAATTAGTGAAGATGGGGATTCAACTAATAACTAATAAAATGGATGCCTTTAATTTTGTGATTAAAATAGTCATACAAATTGAAATTGCTTTATCAAAAATTTTATGTTGTGTGATTTTGGAGTATTTTTTAAATAAACCTGCCCTGTTAAAAATATGGGTTTTTTCAAAAAATAATTTTATTGCTCCAATGGGAATAAATACAACCTTGATTGTCTAGGTCCATAAGAGAAAAAAATACCCCTACAAAGAAAAAGATCTGCAATCTCCATAAATTTAACTATTTAAAATACTGTCATGTTTCCTATTTCAATGTTGTGATTTTCGATTGATTTACTTTTTTAATATGAACCTGAAAACCCTGTAAATGAAAAATTAGTAATCTATAACAATAATTTGCTAAGAGTCAAAATATTGAGGTTGACCATCCCCACTCAAGATGCTTGTCATATAATCTCATCTCTATTCCCATCATCGGAATAAAAAGAGCAGTTGAGTTATAGCTGTTGTAATGGCTGCAACCCCAAATTATATCACAGACACTGCCAAGGAAAGTAAACTCCTCCATTTCTCAGTATAATACCCAGTTATTGAAGCCATATTAACAAGAAGAGGAGAACATATCCTGTGAATGTGTCAGCCAAACGTTTTACCTTGCTGGATGCTGGAGTTGGTGGGAGAGACAACAGTTGAGTGGAATATGAACTATTCAAACATTCCTGCCTGAATTTACATATCTACTTAAACAATAGCAATGAATCCTACTTTCTTTGTTTGTGCTTTTTGCCCTACCCAGATTTCTACCCCATACCTCACTCTGGGTGTTTGATTTCACCTCCTAGATCATGCCATTCACTTCCAAACCCAAATCATTCTTACAGTTTCACTTCTAGGTGTTATAGTATGTAGAGCAGCTTAATAATCTTTTAGGCTATCTTGTGTGCTAATCCTGACACTAGCTGATTTTTTCCCTAAGTATGTGCCACTATATTATGTGCTTTTTAAATTAAATTAAATTTGGCCTAAAGCTGCCTCCATATATAGCAAACTAACAAAGAATATAAACAAACTACAGCCTAACCCATCTTTGATAACTTCTTTAATAAACAATGTTATGCACCTGATTTGGTGAAACAAAACTTGTATTCAACTGGATGTAAATCCATTGTTAAGTGTGGACTCATGGAGTGCCTGGACAGCCACCTGGCCATTCCTGAGTCCTTAAAGTTTCTATTATTAAAACCTCTACACCTCATAACTCACTACAGAAGAGATAAAATAAATGATTCAAATTATGGAAAAATATTGGTGGGGTGACTCTTCTACAATGGTTTATAACCAACGTTTTGTCTATCAAATCCATAATACTGGTAAGACAATAAAAACTTAGGGGATACATTTCTGGAATCTGCTGAATTATCTGAACACTTACAGATGGATTTTATTCAGTTGCCATCTTCAGTACATGTTTTCTGGTTATACTGAAGCTTTCCCATAAAGGAAGGACAATGCTATTGCAGTGGCTATAGCAATGCCAAGTGGAAATGTGGTGTGAGAGTTGCAGAATAAAACCCCAAGATGACCATGCCTAGTGGCACCATGGGAGCAGGACCACAGTGGAGACCCCAGAATTGTGGAGCTACCAGCATGAAATGCCAGCCTGTGAGAGCTAAAGCATGACCTCAGACCAGGAAAGTCATAGAAGAGGAGCTGCCTAAGGACTTGGGGCCCAACCCCCACGCTAACATATTGAGCGTGGAGTCAAGCGTGATTCATCAGCTGTAAGATTTGATATCTGCCCTGCTGGGTTTTGGACTTGCTTAGGATCTGTTACCCCTTTCTTTTGGCCTATTTTTTCCTTTTGAACAGGAACATGTACCCTATGTTTGTCCCACCCATTGTATATTGGAAATAGATTACTAGTTTTGATTTCATAGATGGGAATTTAAATTTTGAACTTTTAGTTAAAACAAGTTAGACTTTGGGGATGAAATGAATGTATTTGTATGTGAGAAGGACATGAGTTTTCAGAGGCCAGGGGCAGAATGCCTTCGGTTGAATGTTGTGTTAGTCCATTTCTGTTGCTTATAACAAAATACTTGAAACTGAATGAATTATAAAGAAAACAGAATTTATTGCTTACAGTTTCTGAGGCTGGGAAGTCTAAAGTCCACTTGGTGGTGGCAGTAGTGACCCAGGGTCTCACACTGCAAGATGGTGGGGGCAGAGAGAGAAGAGAGAGCAGAGAGACAGAAAGACAGACTCTTCCCTTCTTTAAAAGCCCTCAACCACTCCCCTACCACCATTTTTAATCCATTCACTACTGCACGGTCCTACAATCCAATCACCTCTTCAAGGCTCCACTTTTCAGTTACCATAATAGGATTTTCCACCTTCTTAATAGTCATAATGGGGACCAAGATTCTAATACATAAAACTTGGAGGACACAATTCAAGTTTCAATGAGTTTGGGGGGACATAATTCAATCAACTACAAATGTCCTCCCAAAACTTAATCCCTACCATTAAGGTTGAGGGTGCAGATCCTGCTATGGTAATTGAAAGGTGGGACCTTGAAGAGGTGATTAGATTATAGGGCCATGTTGTAGGGAATGGATTATTAATGGTGGTCAGAGGTGTGGTTGTGAAGACTTTAAAAGAAGAGCACATGGGAAGTTCTCTCTCTCTGCTCCACTACATTCTGCCATATGAGATCCCTGGGCCACTTTTGCCACCACCAACCCCCCCACCAGATGTGTTCCCTGGAGTTTGGACTTCCAAGCCTTCAAAATGGTAAGCAACTAATATTGTTTCTTTATAAATCATCCAGTCTCAGGTATTTATGTTATAAGCAAAAGAAACAAACTAATACGCGAGCTAAAGTTGTTTTAAATAACAGAAGTGCTTTGAACTACCTGTTGACTAAACAGTGGGGAATGTGTGCACTAGCTAACACCTCTGCTGTACTTGGGTAAATACATAAATACATCTAGTATGATTAAAACTCAACTTCAAGAAATCAACAAATAAACTACTTGGTTAAAACAAGTAGATGCTTATTCTAGCTCATTTTTGATATATTTGGTTTTGGTTGGTTCAATTTGTGTTAAGGAGCATAATTCTGTCTCTTAATTTTGCCCTCTTAATAACTATCATGATAGTCTCCCTAGTGTGCCATATCCTCTTAAGAGTCTTAAGTGCTCTTATAAAGCCATCTATTATATGTCAAATGGCTTGACAAAAGTTAGAATAATCAAAACACAAAGAAAACATAATGAATCAATCAACTGACTTCACATTGTAAATTGTTAATTCCATACTGAGGCAAAAATAGTCCATTCTGAAGGTGAAAGAGAGTGGTGTCAATGCCCAAGATTTTGGTCCCTCTCCCAACATTAAGAGGTAGACTAAAAAGGGGAATTGTTAAATTAAGTTTGGCATAAAGCTGCCTCTATACATAGCAAACTGCAAAGTAACTTAGTATGTGCTAAGGTTTGAATGTCTCCATTCAAGCTCATTTTGGAACTTTACCCTCAATATGGTGGTGAAAAGTGGTACCTATAAGAGGTGATTAGATCACAGGGACTATGCCCTTGTGAACAGATTGATCCATTCATGGAGTGATGGGTTGATGGTTTAATAGGTTGTTGGGGAGTGTGATTTGGGTGGCTTTATAGGGAGAGCAAGTGGGAAGGTTAGCTCTCTTGCTCTTGCCATTGCTTGCCATGTGACAACCTGTGTCACCATGGGACTCTGTAGAAAGTGGAAGGCCCTCACCAGATGTGACCCTTGATGGTACATTCCCCAGCCTCCAAAACTGTAAGAAATAAATTTTATTTCTTTATGAATTACCTAGTTTCAGATATTCCATTATAAGCAACAGAAAACAGATGAATACAACATGTAAACAAACTGCAACCTAACCTAAGAATATATTCCTGTAACAAGTAGCTGAGTCTCAGCAATCACAGCAGCCGAGTTCCATCCAATCACAGGCTGTCAACTGATCAGACCACATCCACATAAGGCAAATGCCTTATCACACTATGCCCAAATGAGGCAAATGCTGAGCTGTTTCTATATGTCACTGCCTTTTTCTTTCTGTAATTATTGCCTGCCCACATGCCTGAATGGATCTCTGACTTTCTACTGGTTCAGGCTGCTGCCAACTCAGGAATCACATTGCCCTAATAAACTCTGCTAAATTTAATTTGTCTAAAGATTTTCATTTCACAGCATCTATAATCAAAATAATAAAGATCACCCACATATTTGTACTCTATTGTGTTTTCTACAATTAGAGATATCTGTTGCATATTGTTTGTTGGCTTGTTTTTTCATGCAAGACTTTTTTTCTCATATTTTTATCCCCTCTTTACAAAACACTTTAAAATTGATCATGCTAAAATATTCACACCTCATGACTATAATCCCCAATGGTTAAATTTATTACTTAAATTAAGATTGGAAAGCACTCTAGAAGAAGACAAAAATGTATAAATAACACCAGAAATCACTTAGCATATTAAATAGAGATGACTTTGGATCCATTCTTACCTATCTTCAAACTTTTTGACAGCATCTTCCAGGCTTGAGGTATGTGCAGCCCATAAGTACTTCAATATATTATCAAAGTTACAAAAAGGTGACTGTAAATACTAAAGTAAAGGGGAGAAACCAATTATATTTGATCAACTGTAACAATTTCTTTCCCTGAATTTCAGTCCTGTTCAAATATATAATTGGGCAATATTCTATGTGAAAAGAGAATTTTGCTTCTAAAAATTAGTATGTGTAAAACCTTAATGCCTAACGCTCTGTTAATGGCACAAAAAGTATTCATTACTTTTAATAATAACACATGCATCTAGAAGAAACTAACTTCAAATATCTTCAAAGAGTTCATATTTTATACTAGACAGGAGGCGTTTATTTTTTGTCTTTTTTTTTTTTACTAACATTGTTAAAATTACCATAAAATCTTAAGAGTAAGAAGAAAAAAAGCTTGTTTCATTGTTTAATTGAAGTAATACAATAATAATCTAAAGAAGAAGTAAATCTATTTTTTGTCATTGAATTTAGTCCATGCCTATATTTAACCAATGTGTTTTATTTTTGGTCATCAAATATTTGATTTTGAACAACACACAATTGCTAAGTTCTATTCATATGTGATCATTTATTGATTTAATTGAAATAAGTTGATTAACTGTTCTAAAACCAACTTTATAATGACATTTCTCTCAAGATTCCACACTTGACCTGAAGTTTCAATTAACTAGAATATCCTGCTCACCATTCAGCAGAATATCCTTTATGTTTAGCATTTGTGTAAAATTAATTTGAAGTGAGAATATTGCATATATTTTCTGTTAATGCTGTATTGGGGCAGTGTGTATTAATGACACATACCCTATTACAACATATGTTATTAATATATTTTGCATAAATTTATGTTTTCTACTAAAAAAAAAGTACAATGCACAAAAAATCCTAGACAAAAAGCATTGTACATCCTAGACAAAAAGAAATTCTCTTGCCATCTTGTGAGAGTATAAACTATAAAACTTAAAGAAAGTACCTGGTAAAAGGCATTCCACTTGCTCATTGTCTCAGGGAATGATGAATGACAGGTAGAAACATCATAACAAAACTCCATCTGATCTTTGGGTGGGGGTAAAAGCACAACTTGGTCTGATGATATCCCCATTATGCCAGAATCAACAGCAGCAAGGAAGGGCAATGCACTCAGAAAATAATTCATATCTGTAAGAACAAAAGACTTATTACTACCACAAGAACTTAACAAATGTCAAAGAGGACATTTTTGAGGAAGCCATAAGTCATTACGGAAATGTGATAAAAGAAGAAAAAAAATATTGAACAAAAATCTCCTTAGTGATCATAATTATAACTTTAATGTGCTTCTTTTAATAACACTATAATCATGAATATATATTGGTTAAAAAACATGACTATAATATTTTAAAACAAAAAGTAATTTAAATGGATTTGGTAATATTTATTTTTTGAAGCATGAAGTAAAAAAGGAAAAAGCTATCGATTTGTCCACAGAATGGCACAAAACCACTGAGGTTTTATTGTGAGTTGAATTTTTTTCTAAAATATTTTAACATAATTCTAGCTTTGATATATTGGTATTTTCTATTTTATATATGTTTCATTTGTAACTATGATATCACTAAGTCCTTGCTATCCTATGTCTCTAAAGCAAAACTTTTCAATAAATTTTGGCAATAGATCATTGAAAAATCTGATTTACAATCAAATAAGACTTTAAAATTTCTACCTCCAGATAACCGATTATAGCAAATTTAGAGATTTTCATTTAGTTGAATGTTATGTTTATACTGATTTCCACTGGAAATCATTGATGCAGAATAATTTTCATTATAGACATGCATTTGTGAATGCAATCCTACACCTCAGAAATGTAGGCTGATACTCCCAGCTACTAAGCCAGTCTGAGAATAACAAACTCTGATTTCTATATCTGTGGCTTCAACTATTTGTGAAACTTTGAAATGAAGGACTTATAACACGTAACAAGAAAAACACATCAGGGTACACATGACCTGTGTGACCCTGAGAAAGTGAAATTTAATATGGTCTTCTTTTTAATTATTGGGAAATAGCCCTAAGGAATTGTTGTGTAAATTAGTTTTATTACTAAAACATAAAGTTAAATTAAAAAATTATAAAATACCTTGTGGTTATTTTAGCATTAAGTATATGACTAAAGTCTTAGATTACTGATTAATATATTGAATTGTAGCAGGTATTAATCTCTGACATATTTATAGATTTTAATATTAAACACATCTGGTCTGAGCAAAATGAAAATGCGCCATTTTCCTCGGGCCTTCACTTCTCAACCTTTCACATTCTGGAGACTCTCTGTCACTAGTGGGGCCTCCCACTTCACTGTCAGTGCTGCTCCCTAACAGGTCATTGCCCTTTGCAGTTCCTTGCATCTCTTTCCGTGAAAAGCTGAATATGTCCTAAGGAATCATTATTGACATTGTGGCTGTTAAATCCTATAATGTGACATAAAGTCCACAGGTATATGGTGACATAGATTCCTTCTTAAAAAGGAACAGGACTGGGTTTTGTTTTGTTTTTTGTTTGTTTCTGTCCCTAAGTTTGTAGGTTGAATGCTTTCTCTGGGGAAAGGTTAATATCTATTTTGCTTTTTAAGTGAACCTACCAGCCCACCAACTGTCCACAGAGACGCACAGATCACCTCCAGGTTTGTAGCCACAGTTTGTCTTTTGGCTGGGATCAGCTAATCTGCCTAGAAGAGAGAGGACACACAGTTGTATTTATTATGTGCATTTTGTAACTGGTTATAATGATCACTTAAGTACATTTTGTTTGTAGATGCACAAATATCTATTTCTGAATGACTTGTATTTGTATATCCATCCCTCTTTATCTTTTATTTTCCATCACTCAACCTATTCCTTTTCTTTTTTTGAACACCATCACAATTTTATACTTTTGAATTATAGATTTTAAATATTCCTGCTTATATTATATTCACTCTTGTACTTCTTTCACAACCTCCTGCTCAAAGTTATGAGAGCAGTATTAAAAGAGATTAAAAGAGGTGGTCTAGAGTCAAACCAAATCCCTGCTACATCATTCACTAGTTTGACTTTGTCTAAATAAATTAACCTCTTATGCCTTAGTTTGCTCATCTATAAAATGAGAATAATAATATTAACTACATTGTTGTTGCATGAAGTGAGAAAAAACATCAAAAGTTTTTATCTGTAATATATATTACATAAATATTAGAAAATAATTTTTCTTTTCTTTGCCAAATGAAATTGCTATTTTCTTATCTCTCTCTCAGTAATTTCTTTTTTTTTTTTTTTTTTTTTTTGTCTTTTTTCGTGACTGGCAACGGATCGCAACCCTCAGTGTCGCGCCCGTACCGGACCGGGACCGGCAACGGAATCGCAACCCTCGGTGTTGCCCCCGCACCTCGCTCAGCCAGTGAGCGGCCGGTCTGTATGTGGGATCCGAACCCTCGGCGGGAGCGCCGCCGCACTTCCCAAGCAGCACACTGTAGCAGTGCGCCACTGGGCCGGCCCACTCTCAGTAATTTCTTTATTGGCTGTGTTACAGTGTGGGGCTGGCAACAGGCACCACTCTTTCTTATGAGCTTCTGTCAGCCAGAACAAAAATATCTTTTGATTCATTAATATTTTACCCCAAAACATATACTTTGTCTATACACTGTAAGTTAACTTATTTCCAAGAGGAAGCAATAATTTGCAGAGAAAGATCCTCATGAACAAGATGCTGCTCCTTTATATACCTCATATCTATGATCAGGTAATCATAATTAGAACTTTGAGAAATTCAAACTAGTTTATCACCTTTTGTTTATAATGTATATCCCCTTCACTGTTCTCTTCATCTCATTGCTTAGAAAGGAAATTGGTACTTACTAGGAGTTCAATAAATATTTATAAAATGCTCAATAGATTAAATGTGATGCCTTTTTGTGGTTGGTAACTATGCCATATGCCTCACTGAAGTTCCTAGTAGATACAGACAACCCATAAAAAAAGGATATGTAGAGAAGGAGAAATAGAAGTAGAAAAGTAATGATCATTAAAGGAAAAGAGGGAAAGAAAAAGAAACAATTTTCAAAAACATGATATGGTATGTACAGAATTTCATTTTCCAAATGCTTTATAGTTAGAAGCATAGATCATTAGAATGGAAAAAAGAGTCATTCCTACCTGAACTATATTGCCAGCCATACTGCAGAGGCAATCCCCATAAAACATTTAGTTCATTTTCTGGTGCCAATTTTGCAAAATATCCAGCCGTCTGGTTCAATAAGATTTTATATATCCCCATTCTCTCAAGGTAATTCCAGGGGTTAATGATGTACTTTCCATTTTCCACACTGTAGTCAGCAAACTGACCAGGGCTCTCCTCCCACAAAGGGGGATATAGATCTGAGAAATTGGAAGCTTCTGCTAAAGAAGCAAAAAAACAACCAACTATTACACAAGCCCAGGAAGGAAGGAAAGCCATCATGCCAAAGCGGAGGATTGTGTCAGGGCTTTTATTGGGCAGAGGATTGTGTCAGGGCTTTTATTGGGCAGAGGATTGTGTCAGGGCTTTTATTGCAGAATGAAGGAAGAAGTCATGATGTTTTCTTAGATCATAGCCTATTAACACTTTCCATTCTTTTCCACAGATAGGGTGAAAATGTAGAGGAAATTGGTATATTAGCTTACACCCAACATACTAGAATTTTGCAACTTTTTTAGTGTCAGAACAATATGTCAGAACTTAAATACAAGGTTAGGCTTGCCTATAATATATTGGATAAAATTATTTTTCAATAAAAACCTTCCAGAAGTTCCCCAGTCTATACTGAGATTACAAAATATATCACAAATGACATTAGAATGCTTCCCTCTTGTAAAAATACTTTAACATATGTAATAAGAAATATTAAATAATTGAAGATGGAAATACTAGGATTTGTAATAATGTTCAAAGGTGTACTAAAAATATGTGTGATCTAATTATAAGTTTTTGCTTTAAGAAAGAAGCTTAAAGTATATCCAAATAGAGAAAGTCAGGGTGTTGGAAAATAACTGCTAGTTAATTCCTCATTTCCATTCCCCATTCTTTATCAGTAAAAGAACCTTAGAATTTAACCAGGAATATGGTCTCCCAGAATTAAGACTCAATTTCCAGTGTCCCTTGCACAAGGAATCTTGTGACTACTTGTTTACCACAGAGACATAAACAGAAATGGTGTCTACAACTTCTGAGATATGTCCTTAAATGAGAGATACATGCTGTTTTCTCTTCCCTTCCTCTGTGCTGGGGCTTGGATTACAGATGTGATAGCTGAAATTCAATCTTTGACCCTTAAGCACAAGGCGCTATTTGATAGACTGCAGAATGCAAAGCTAGGTGTTGCCTGAGTCCTGGAGGACGGTGGAGTCATGAAATGTCCCTGAATTCCCACATCAGAATTTTACCTGACAGAGAAACATCTTGCTCTCCTGTTTCAACGACTGTTATTTGGGTTCCATTCACCAATAGTCAAAATGCTTACCTTATTAATAGACAGTGTATCTGAAAACTCCAGTTGTTAACATAATTAGAACCATATGTTTCATAGTAGGTCAAGGTCATAAAGGTCACTCCTGTCATGATCCAGAATAAATATCCCTCAGCATAATACTACTCCTTATTTCTGTCGTATTATTTACCCAATAGCTGCTTGATCATTAACTATTCAATTTTCCAGATGTATGAATATAAAATAAATTGGTGGAAATTGCTGTTAAGTTTTGAATCAATAACACAAGCATTTTGGATATTAAAAAATACATTCTATCTTTATAAATAATAAATACATAAATGTGTACTAAAAGATGTGTTTCTCTAAAATCAAATGCCAGGAGAAACTTTGAGAGCATCCCATTTAGTATCAGAAATAAGATAAAAATGACCACTACCATTATAATCCTTCAACTTGTAAAGTTATTAAAGATAAAAAAAAATTAGAGATACAAAATTTACAGTGAGGAAGTGATAATATGATTTTTGCAGATGATGTGAAAATATTCAGAAAATATGAGTGAATGAACAGGAAAGGTAACTACAAAGAAAAATTTAGTAGAGTGGCTAGGAACTAAATTCATATACATAAGTCAATAGCTTTTATATATAAAGGCAATTAGGAAATATAATGAATGAAAATATAATGGAAGAAAAGTACCCATTTATAATATCAATAAAAGTGCCAACATATTTGGGAATAAATGTAATTGTGTTATATCCATATGGAAAAAAATCTTGAACAATACCAATAAAATTGAACAATTTAAAAGTCTTACCATTTTAATCTACGAATTTACACTGTAAGAATGAGAGTGATTAACAGGGTTTTTAGAAGTACAACAGCTGAAACTAAAGTTTGCCTAATTTTATATATTATTTATTTTAATAATTAGGTAAAATAAGAAATCTTCAGTAACACATTATAGTTATTGAAACAATGTGACCAGGAACATGTAAAAAAGACAGATCGTTGGACTGTTCAAGAAAGGTTTTTTAAAAAGAAACCAAATACAAATGAGAATTTAATGAAGAATTATACTGAAATGAGATCTAGACACTGTTTATTTGTCTATTGTTGGGATAGTTATTGGAATTCCCATACACAGTGGAAAAAATGAGTACATCTTGATGTAAAAATATTTGATGAAGATAAAAAATAAATAATACTTAAAAAAATTTTTTCAATTCCTTGCTCAATCCAGTGTTGTGAAGTGTTTCCTATATGCTTCTCTTCCAGTAGTTTCATAATTCCAGGTTTTATACTTATCTTTAATGCATTTTGAGTTGATTTTTGTATATGGTGAGAGGTAGGAGTCTAGCCTCATTCTTCTACATGTGGATGTCCAATTTTCCTAGCACCATTTATTGAAGAGAATGTCTTCTCCCCAAGGTGTATTCATGGCACCTTTGTTAAAAATCAGTTAGTTGCAGGTGAACTTATTTCTGGGCTCTCTATTCTGTTCCTTTGGTCCATGTGTCTGTTTTTATGCCAGCACCATGCTGTTTTGGTTACTATAGCTTTGTAGTATAATTTGAAGTCAGGTAGTGTAATGCCTCCTGCTTTGTCCTTTTTGCTTACGATTGCTGTATTAGTCCATTTACCTTGCTTATAACAGAAATACCTGGAACTGTGTGATTTATAAGAAAACAAAAATTTATTGCTTATGGTTTCAGAAGCTAGGAAGTCCAAAGTCCAGAGGACACATCTGGTGAGTCTTCTTTGGGGTGGCTTTGTAGCAATGCAGGGCTCTCAAGTGGCAGAAAATGGTGGAACAGAGAGAGACTCTCATGTGCTCTCCTTTAAAAGCCCTCAGAACCATGCTCATGACCACCATTATCAATCTATTCACTACGTTGTGGTCCTATAATCTTATCCCTCTTCAAGGCTCTACCTTTCAACTACCATAATAGAATTTTCCACCCTCCCAGCAGTTACAGTGGGCCAAGTTTCCCATATCTGGAAATTTGGGGGACACAATTTAAGCTTCAATGAGTTTAGGGGGGACATGCCCAGCAGGTATATGAAAAATGCTGAAAATCACTAATTATCAGGAAAATGCAAATCAGAACCACAATGAGATACCACCTCACTTCAGTTAGAATGGCTATTATCAAAAAGACAAAAGAAAACAAAGTTGGTGAGGATTTGAAGGGGAAAAGGGAACTCATATGTTGGTGGGAATTAGTACAATCATTATGGAAAACTGTATGAAGGTTCCTCAAAAATTAAAAATAGAACTATCATATGACCCAGCAATCCCACTATCAGATATATAACTTAAGCCAATTTTGTTATTGTGCAGAATTTGTTACTTCCTGGTGAACCTAATATGAGCAGACACTCTAATCATGTCTTTTAACATTTCTGTGTCTCATTTTCCTAAACTGTAATATAGAAATAGTGTTACACTGCCTATATCCACTAATTATGACTTCATTTCTAGTTGTTTGGAGTTTGTAATATTTGGGTAGATAGCGTGATTAGATATTGGATAAAAAATATGTGTTGGAGACACACATATAAAAATAATTACTCAAACTCCAAAACATCAATGCAAAATGAATACTAATATCCTAATTTATGAATAAGAAAACTGAGGCTTATCAAGGTCAAGGGACTTACCCAAAGTCATACAGGTTTCAGATGTGAAAGGCTAATTTTGATTTCAGGTCTGCCTGATGTCAAAGCCAGGACTAGTGTAGGCTATGTGTATTGTGGTGCTACAAAATAATGATGCAAATAATATTACAGGGAAATTTAAACTTATTTAAGGGAAGAAATTGTGTTTAAAAATTCAGCATTTTATGCATTTCAAGACATCTTATTTCTTTGTCTAGAATGCTGATTGCAAGTATATCACTTCAGATGGCCATAATGTTGAAACTTCCAGGAAATTAAAGACAGGAGATCTGTAATCTCATCTTAACCTTGTCACAAGCAATTTGAACTTGGGGATTCTCTAAATTTGCTTTCTATAGAAGAATAATAAGACTAGTCTTTCCTATTACACAGAGGGATTGGGAAACCTAAATGAGAAGATGTAGACAAAAGGAGTGAAAGAGTATGAAACAATGCAAAAATTAAAAGCAAAACCATTTTTATTAGAATTGAACAAACACTCTGGGATATGTTTGATCCACTTCCATATTCACTTAAATATATGCTTCTACTTATAAATGATTTGGTTATATTCTTGAATATAACTGGCTGACACTTAAGAAGCAGTATATCTTATAATTAATTTTTTTGTTATATTAGATATATTTATACAAGCATTTTATCATATCAGGATAATTATACTTTTCCTGATTAAATATTTTATGGGTGTGCTTTTTTTTCTTAAATTGATTTTTTGTTTATTCCAGTGTAAAAAAAATTTTTGCTCTCCCCTATGGTATGAAATATACAAGGGAATAAAAGAAAAGAAAAACCACTAAAATGGCATCTTCATTGGAACAAGGATATGGATATACTTGCAAATTACAGAGTATAAAACATATTTATCACAGTATAAAATACACATGAAGACAAAGATATATGCGGAATTCTGCCGGGGACCAGCCCCAGCACAAAGATTGTAGGGTCCTCACTGATAAACCCTATTGAAGCATGCATACACTTTTTATACTTTTTCTTGGAGGCAACATAATCATTGAAATAATCATTGAACAATATCATAATATTTTTTATGAGTGACAAATATTCCAAGAAAAATGACATTACAGTTTGTTCCCAGAAGAAACAATTACAATGTTCTTTTCTTTGAGTAAAATAAAACGTTTACAAGAAACCCACTGGTCTTAGATAATTATTAACTATTACATTGAATTCAGCTAACTCTACATTACATTGAACTTTGTATGACCTAATCTAAACTTGTACCTTAATCAAAGGATGGAATCAGGAAGTTAAAATCCCCCTCACCAATACTTTTTCATTGTTAAAA